CACAGTGATCATTGTGCACCAGTAACCCCACCTGGGAGACGCACAGTGATCATTGTGCACCAGTAACCCCACCTGGGAGAGACAGTGATCAATCTGCACCAGGGGGGAGGAGAGAGAAACGGTTTCACCAGGTGAATTCGGGGGGGCTGAGGGCGGACAGACTGTACAGCCCCAGAGCACAGTGGGTCGACTCAACGAGAGGCTTTACGTCGTGGGAAATAGCGCCATCGTGTGGCGGTGACCCGGAGCTTCTCGTTACCTCGACTGTAAGCCAGACCCCAGCAGTTGTATACTGTACCTCGGCACTGTTTGCACCAGCTAATCCGCAGACATCCAAGCGATCTTCAGCAAGTAAGGATCGTTTCACTAATTTCGGGGAAGACCCCGCCCTGACTACTGTTGAGCTAAAAAGTAACGACGCTTTAATATTGGAGGCCACAATCACAGTTCCTGCAGAGTTGATGTGTTTGCAGCTGGGTTTTTAAGGACCTGAAACAGCGCATTCGCGGCTTAATGGGGCCAATGTAACAGCTTCATTCGGATTTTAGGTGTTGCTGCTTTAAAGAGAAACACCGCACGCACTGACGGGACCCTCCAGGACTAGGAATGGGGACCCCCTGTAGACACATTAGTCCTCCGGGATTGGGGACCCCTGCATTAAAACGTGTAATGTGTAAAATTTAATGCTGGTGCCGTTTGCCATCATGCTTAATACTTCATACGGAAGTACGTTTAGCTTTAATGTAAGCCATAAACCAGGCTTCCACTGTATAAACTTCCAGAGATATTACAAAATGTTTGAGGGAACATCATACCAGGCGGAAACTGACTTTTTTCCAGAGGCAAGAAAGTGTTTAAAGTGTTCGCCATCGAAAAAGGCGCTTTAGATTGGGGAGCGTGTGTCTTTTGTCCCTCCCCGCGCTCCGTCATTGTGTACAGTTGAGCTCACGGTGTTACCGAGAGCCGGAGCGCTGGGTTATCCGAGACCGAACCCGCGTTGGACCCGTACGTCTGAAGTCCACCTCTCCGCCCCCTTCCTTAGTCCTCCCCACAGGGAATTGTCTTCCTCCAAAACTTATCCCTTCCCTCCAGGCGTCTCGAGGCCCTCGCACGGACACTCGGGCTGGAGAGAGCAGGCCGCAGCCAGACCGGGGACTCTTCTTGGCCGTCAGCCCCGGCCGCAGCCATGGATTCGTGGGTTCGGTTCAGCTCCCAGAGCCAGGCCAAAGAGAGGCTTTTCAGGTAGATGTTTTGCCTTCCACCCCCACGTTTTGAGCTTGACCGCAGGCTAGTGTGCTGTGTGTCCGGCCGCCCTGGGATTCGGCTATGCAGTTGTCTTGGTGACAGTTGCGACGGCAGTGTTGCTGTTCAGACTCGAATTCGATCCCGGGTCCCAGTTCCAGTTCCCCCGGAGCGCAGTGGTACCTGTGAACGCTCTCGGCGGTCGGCTGTTCTGCGGTTCGGCACTGAGGCCCAGCCGGGAAATCTCAGCCCAGCTAGGCTGGACAAGCCCCGCCACTCGAGATCCGTCATCACGCCTTTCTTTTTTTAAAAAAAAGTTTTTATTTGAGCACCCGGGCGGCCTGTTGTCAGTTCTCGTGGAACCGACAGGCGCCACACCCGCAGAGGCAATGAACACGCACGGTGTGCGGTGTGGTTTGTGGCCTCGGGCACGGACACGCCCCACGGAGGAGTGCGTCACGCCCGGCCTCCCGGCGCTGAGGGGACCTGCCCATTCTCATTCGGTGGTGTTGGTGTTAAAGGGGGTTCCTAATATTTTGGCCAGTGCATCTGTTGAAAGACCAGCTGCCTCGGTGTCAAGTTAAGGTGAACCCGCTCGTCTGTGGTGCCCGGGCTTCCAGGGGTGTGAAGGTGATGGATCAGAGTGCCAGGCGTGTTACACTGCGACCTCTGACCTGCCCTCCTGCCCTCTGCAGTGTGACCTCTGACCCCCCTCCCTGCCCTGTGGAGTGTGACCTCTGACCAATGAACCCCCTAATCAGTGCAGTATGACCTCTGACCCCTGTGTTCTCTGTGTTCCCCAGGGCCGCCCAGTACGCCTGCGCCCTGCTGGGGTACACGCTGCATCGAGGCGGGGCGAGTGCGGAGCTGCTGGCGAAGGTTAGACAGCTGGAGGCACACATGAGCCTGGGCAGAAAGCGTGAGTACCCCCAAACCCCCAGGCGGGGCCCTGCCACAAGTCACCCCTGGCCCGATCCAGGCCTGGAGGCAGCAGTGCAGGCACGGCCTCGCCCCTCCTCGGTGTGGGGTGTGGTGGTTAGGTACGGGATCAGCTGAGGGGAGACCCCGAGTCCGCCACACACGTGACCTCTGACCTCCGAATGGGTGACCTCTGACCTTCAGGTTGACTGTCTTTTTAGCGTCGTGTCTGTGTGGCCTGTGTTGGTGCGTGTCTCTGTCAGTGTTATGTGCAGGTTGTGTGTGCGTGGTGGGGAGTGGGTGTGTCGCCGCAGGGGCTGACCGCTGTCTCCCCGGCAGTGTTCCGGCTGGGGAACTCGGCCGAGGCCCTGGAGGCGGCCAAGCGGGCCGTGCACCTGTCCGACAGCGTGCTGCGCCTCTGCGTCACCGTGGCGCACCTCAACCGCGCCATGTACTTCGCCTGCGACAACGCGCTCTGGGCCGGGCGTGTCGGCCTGCTGCCCCGGCTGGACCAGGAGAAGTGGAGCCACAGGTCGTTCAGGTGGGGGAGTCCCCCTTTCTCCTCTGTCTGTCTCCCTGCCTCATCTGTAACTCCCTCGGTCAAATCCGAGAGGTTTATTGATGTGACCAGTCAATTCCAGTGTTGACAAAGCAATACCTGTTAGCAACACATTAACGGCAGTCAGATACTGTGTTGTTATACTGAGAGGCTCACTGTTGAATCCTGGGATTAGGTCTATTTTAGGCTGTAATCACTGAGCCTGTCCTCTCTGGGCAGCCAGGTCTGTCTGTGTCCAGTGGCTATGTCCAAACTGTGGTCACTGAGCCTGTCCTCTCTGGGCAGCCAGGTCTGTCTGTGTCCAGTGGCTATGTC